CTTGTTTGAGCCTGAGGGGGAAAAACAGCCGCTTTAAAAAAAAAAAAAACCAACTCGAAGGCAACATGTGTCCTTTACTTTACATTCAAAGCACCAGGGTGAATGACCTCCCCCCGAAAAAATGCAGAAATGTCTTTATCATATATTAAAGACCTAGATAAAAATATCTTTTGCCACATACATAGTTGTTTTGTTTGTGGGCTTTTTTTTTGGGGGGGGGCTATCCTGCCATATTATTTTTGTAAACTGCTCAAAATGTATTAGAAAGATCTGCCAGGTCCTTGTTTGTGATTAAGGTGACTTAAAAACCCTCTTTGGGAGGGAATTAAGTCTTTGCAAGATTAATTTTCCTCAGATATGTGCTTTCCTCCACTTGAGTGCACTCTCTCCCTCCCTCCCTCTCTCTCCCTCCCTCCCCACCTCCTCTCTCTCTCTCTATCCTCTCTCTCTCTCTCTCTCTCTCTCTCTCTCTCTCTCTCTCTCTCTCTCTCTGTGTGTGTGTGTGTGTGTGTGTGTGTGTGTGTGTGTGTGTTAATCAGGTCTTCTCATTCATCCTTCAGAAACTTTCACACATCTTAGTCATTTCTAAATATGAAACATGACTTAGAATTTTTCAAAAAATGTGTATCTGATACTAAAATTAGTGGGGGAAACCTTGTAGTAAAAAATACTGTAAGGTAAAGTGGAAAACTCAACAAACTTGGAGCAACCGTTTTCAATGTAAAACCATCTCTGTTCTAAAGTAGCTCTTAGTTTCTTCAAGCACTGAGGAAACTGAGGCAGGAGCTTGGGGGGTGGGCAAGGTTGAAGACATCTTGGGCTACAGAGTGAGAACCTATTTCAAAAGCTAAACTAATACCCCCCCCAAAAAAAACATAAAATGTTGATGGCAGCCTAAAAGCTGTTAATTAGAAATAAATAGCAAAATAAAAATAAATGGGCAAAGGACAAGAGGACATGAATAGTTGATGAAATTCTAAGGGAACACTCTGCTTCCTTGTGAGCACCATCAAGCAGCGCAACTCTAAATATCTCTGTTCCTGCTACAAGCCTCAAAGCAGCTTAACAGCATTTACTTAAATTTGGTGCACAGTCATAAGGCCCACTTGACTTTTACAATTATCAGTGTTCTGCAACTCACCATTGTACTAAAGCTTACACTTTCGCCTCCCTGTACAACTCCATTTTATATCAATTTGGTCAGTGGAGAAAGGCAAATCATTTTTATCAGAGCTCCTTAAAATCCAAATGTTCAAAACGACAACAGAGCAACACATGAACGATATATCCACCTACTTTAATATTTAAAATAATGTGAATGTGACTAACACTAAGACTTCATGGGTTTTTGTGGTTTGGGGGTTTTTTAAGCCCAATTTGACTGAAACATGGCAAATTATAAAATAAACAATTAGTAAGATTACAAGGAAACAGAAACTTGTGCCTGTTCCAAACCCAAGTAAGGGACAAGAAAAAAAAAAATAAAGTCGAAGTAAGTCTGTCTGCCTCTTTTAGAGTGGCCTCTCCAGTGCAGTCATTGCCTCCAGGGCTTCGAATGCTGCCTGTGGCCTAGAATGCAGGGTGACATCATTTACTCTGATTGGGGTTGATTAGTGAATGTGATACAAAACTGTGTGCAGTTCAACATCACATCCCTGCTGGTGAACACACTGGGAAACCGCCTCCATGCTCAGTGATCCCTACACCCCACCCCCCCCCACACACACATACTCTCTCCCTCTTAGGGATTTTGGTGCACTATGCCTTTGTGCTGACCATACTCAGCATGGTTCCATCCCCTTGGCCTTAGGGTCTTTCTCTGCTCCTGAAGCCTAGTGGTAGGTTCCCTTTCAGTTATGCCTTCTCCAGTAATGGCGCCAAAAGTCATAGTCTTCTGCAGTGAAGTGCTCGTTTCACTCCACTTTATTAATGATTAGCCATCGTTTGTTCCTGTGCTTTGCTTTTAACAGCCATGTCCATATAGGAAAGCTGCATTGCTGGCATCCTTTTGTTAAGCTTCTTTTAAAAAAAATTCAAAAGTACCCAAGAAATTAAGACTAAGATTTAGAATTTTCTTTTCTTTTAACCCTGACTTGTTGCTTCCTAGGGGGAACAACACAGCACTTGTGGATAACGAGTCTGAGGTTTACATCTCTTAAGATAATGTTATGCTAAGTTTAAAAACCAAAAAATTCTAAGATGTTAAACAGCCCCATCAATTAACACAGCAAGCAGGTAACAGGAATCTATTGCTCATTTTAACAGCCGAGAATAGAGAAACAGCTGGACTGTTAGCAAAGCTCCTTCTGTAATAAAAAAAAAAATGGGAAGGGGAAAAAAGTGCTTGCCATCATTCTTCTAGAGATCCTAAGCGAAAGGGTCAGACAAGGTCAAAATGATTATGTACCCACTCTGCTGGTGAAGTGTGGGTCTCTGTTGGTAGGATCCAATGTCAGAATTTACAATGCTGCAGTGGAGGCATTATGGTTATATTTTTCAAATAGGAAGTCAGACAGTTGTGAGTTTGAAACCTTTATTACCTTTGTGGAAACCAAGTTTCCAATTCCTCACACAAATTTAGGTTGTCATCTCCACAGCCCAGACAGCCTATTTAACACAAATATCAGATAGTAACTACATTTTATGATGTGATAATAAAAAATTGCGGACTTCTGCAGGGTTTTCCAAGAAGCCTTATGCTAGGTGAAAGAGACACTAAAGGGTTCTTAATTCTTGTTAGCCTCATTTCATTCCCCTGAAAATTCACAAAGTAGCTTGAAAAACATATTTTCAATCAGTGACAACTGGGTTAGATTAAAACATAACCTCAAAGAAAAGGGACTAGATAAAAAGTTTACTCTGCCAAATAGAAAGGTAGATGGACAATGAGAGGGGAGACAAGGTACAGGTCAGAAAAACAAATAGAATCAGAGAGAAGGCGGGGCAAACAAAACCAGAGAAGCACTAAGATAACACAAACCGGATACCTTATCTCTATTTTTTGCTGTTGTAAAAGAAAGAAAGGAACGTATGTAGGAGGGTCTTTGGCAGCGTCAGGGACATTATTTGTGTTCCTGATGGCTGGAGACTTTTGGGCTTTTCTGGTTATACTGTGGAATGCTGGGTTTTAATGTTTTCTGAGCGCTACTGCTGCCCTGTTTATCTAAGATAATTGAAGAAAATCTCATGGACAAAAGACAGAAAGCTCAACTTCAACAACACAGCACAAACTCTGGAGTCAGAGATTTGTGATGGTTGCCAGAGAAGAGGTGAATGGGTTAAACCACTATGTAGTTATTCAAGAAAGCAGGCAGATTTCCTTCTAAGGGAAAGCCTGGGGGCCTTTAAGCAGATCTTCAGAAACCTTAGTCACTGTGCTACGTGATGACAACCTAGAGCACTTTTCAAGGACTGGACAGTCCGGTTCACAGGCCAGCTCTGGATAGCCACTAACACGACTTCTGTTTAAAACAAGACAGTCTTTCTCAAAACTGTGACTTTTCATCGCACTTTTTCTGGTTTCAGAACAGGGAGCTAAATGATCCGTATCCCCAAATTTTCAACTAAAAGAGCTTTACTACAAAAGGTAGCTTTAAATTTAAAATGCCACAGATGCAAAATAAAGTAACCTTTGTGATCTCACAATGGTTTTAAATGTAAGAAGTTGGATAAAATGAGAAGAGCCTTACCCTCTGTCACGTGGATGGTGGTAATCTGGCACTATGATCCAGCTGTTTTGATTCACACTCCAGCTGTTTGCCCAGCAGAGCATTCACTCTTCTGGGTACTTGTGTGGCTGTACTGCCTTTCTGGGCACACGTGGTCTCACAGGCCGTCTTGCCCACGTTACTTGCTAGTCTGATATCAACTGAGGCTGGGCAAAAAGAAGACAGAAAATCAAATCAATAAAGTGAGAAAGGAATGTGGAGAAACTGCCTACCCAAACTCTAGCTGCTATGAGGCACGTGAGTGAGAAAAGCACATCCCTGGTAATCTCATGATATGCTGATTTTCCCTCTTATTCATGTAAGTTGAAATGCTTTTTAGGACAGCTCCATATTTGTTTCATGCTAAAATAATCTCCATTCAGAAAATTAAGAGGTAGAGACATCAAAGAAGGGAACCAATAATTGCCTTGTATGTTCTATCAGCCAAATGCTGGCCAACTACCTTGGCTTTCTGTTTATTTGATTTTTGGCACTTTGTTTATAAATTCTCATATCACTCACTCTCTTTGTATGATGTTTTCCAGTTATATATAACAGATACTTTCAGTCATACCCTGTATGAATGTTCACAACCGGC